AATCACAAAAGAAGACTGCAGGGACTTAGGGCCAGCCACCAGCTAGTCCTGCTAACCTGACAGCACTTCTTGGGTACCTTGAAAACTAGAACAGCAAAGGGACCCACCTCTCACCACCCAGCCATCAGTGGCATTGGAGGTGCAGGCCCAGGCAGTGCCAAAGCAAGACACTCAATGGCCTTGAGGAGGCTGGAACTGAATACTCATGAAGCCAACCTGCAGCTTCTGCATCCCAGAACTAAGGACTCTTGATACTAGGACAGTTGGATCTTCCTATAGTTTGCTCCCTATTGTTACTCTATTTGTGTGCATATTTGTGAGCAACAGAAAAAAGAAATCAACAAATAAACATTCTACACCTATCCTCCATCTCCAACTACATTATCTTCCCCCAGGATCAGTGATTCTCACTGTTCAATGACAAGTTGATTTCAAATGAAAAGGTGATTTCAAAACCCATCAGACTTAGCAGCTATTCTTTGTAGCCTGGCCTATTTGTTTATAGAGCCCTACAAAACATGACATCAGTATGTTCCTACACCAAAATTAAAAGTGATCCATCAAATTAGTACCTTCGCTTCTCTAAATCTACTCTGGTTTGCCCTTTAGCATTATTACCTTCTTCTCCTTACCTGCCTGCCCTACAGTAGCATCTCTCTTGGGGATGACTGAAAGAAAGAAAACTTAATTGACTGCTGAAGTTTATTCTTTAGGACATCCTCTTAACATATCAGGCAAGCAAAATGAATTTTATGTTTGAAAGAAACTTTTGTGGGGAAGTAGAAAATTTTCATTAGAGAAGGTCACATAGCAAAAGGTCATAGCCCAATAGAACGGCATCTGCAAAAGTGGAAAGACAAGCACAAAAAGACTTCTTGAGGGTGCAGATTTGGGAGGGGAAAGTTTTATTAGTACAGGCACATGATTTAGTAATAATTTTTTAAATATACTGAAAGTTATTGTATTGAAGAAGCTCATTCACTATCATTCATTCAAGCGCTACAATTTTGTCACATTGTGTGATTACTAGGTATGCTTTTTCATACAATTGAAATAGTATATATAAAAGTTAACAAGTTTTAGAGGTGCATAACTGTTTAAATGAAATCAGCTTTAACCAAACACCAAGCTGAGATTTTTTAAAAAATCCTTTTGTAAATACCAGTCCTGAATCTGCAGGGGAAAAAATGTGTTTTGGGGATCACAGGGTTAGGACTAAATGTGGAAAAGTGGGCTCCCCAAAACAAAGAAAGCCCTTGAGGTTGTAAAAATATAATTCAGCAAATGTGATTCCTCTGTGTACTTTAACATTTCGATGTACTTGACCTAAAATCTACCACTGAGCAGAGGGACTGTTTTTAAATGTAGTTGTCCAAAAACTTTGGAAAAGTTTATAGTAGCTTTTTAGCAAGGTGAGAGCTTTTTATACATAACTTTATTTTTAAAATCTCTTCAATCCTAACACCTCTCAGGAATGAAGGAGGCTTCATTCTGAAAGCAAAGAGAATCATAGCAGCCTTTGCTCATGGAGGAATCTGCTATCCCAGCAGAGCTTCCCGATTAGGGAAGTCAGGCTAGAAGATCAAGACTCATCAGGGAATTGGCATCATTAATTCCAGTGTCCTAAATATCCCAGCTAAAATGGTCCTGTGACTATTGACAAAGAAGTTTCTTAAAAAGAAGGAAAAGATTTTCTTGGTTTCAACAGATAATTAAAGAATTCAACTTTCAAAGCATAGGAATGGGGAGGGAAAAGAGGGATCATATTTTATTCCTTTTCTGGAAGGCAGCAGTTGGGGGCTGAGTAAAGGCCTTACATTTGAGAAAGAAGGCATTCTCTTCTGGAATTCTTACATGTGAAGCTTCTAATTGAAAGCCTCTAAAAATAACTTAAAATAGTAACCACAAACCGGGAGGGATTCCATTGTTAGGCAATATGGCAAATTTTGCAGGTTTTTTTTTTTTAAGAGGACAACAATAAAATCTAGACAGCAGAAAAGGGGGAAAGAAAAAAATTCCCGTTTGTGATTTCCAATGACCAAGATTCCGAACCTGAACAGAGAGGCAGCCTCTACTGCGCACCCTGGGAGGTTTCCTGGAGCTTTCTAGAGATGTGGACACCAGGCTCACTTGTGAAAGGCAGTATACTGGCTCCTCTTAGTCAAAATACAGAGATGGTGGGATCTCACAGCCTCTGCCCTAGCTTTTCTCTTTCCACCTTTCATAAGGACTCATTAGCAAGTGGGGTACCAGAATTTGATTTTCAGATGGCATCCAAAGCAAAGCCAGAAGGAAGCAAAAACACTTATTTGAAAAGTCAGGACAGCGATAACGTGTATTTTGTATCCGGTTTGCTTTTCCATCCTATGTTTGAGTTGGCAAGTGGAACCCTGTTGACAACAGGGTCTCTTTCATTAGGTGTTGAGGCCCTCACTGATTTGGGGAAATCATAAATTGGAATTTTCTATTAATGCTAAAGGGTAAAGGCTTTGCTCAGAATGAAATCTTGAGAGCCAAATAAAAGGGGAATAAATACTTTGGAAAGTGAGGGACCCCAATTACCATGCCTGCTGTCTTTTGTACACAGCATATGTTCTTAATTTATTAAAACCTTTTGCCATTACTCAGAAATCTAAATCAGCGTCATTAAAGCCAATTTCTTTTTCTCTTTCGCTGTCTCCCTTTCCTTTCAATAGTGGTGTGAAAGTTCAGATGTTCTCCGTTGTGAGCATAAAGCTCTGAAAATCAGCTAATGTGCCAACGCCGGGAACATATCCAGGCCCATGGTGCGAAAATGGAATATGTGATGTTGAATTATTATTTTTGTCCTTTAGGTTTACATCTACGCCCTTGTATTATGTAAATCTCTGAGAAGCTGTGAATCACAGGGTTAGGTAGAGAAGACAGCCCCCTACTCACACACAGCAACCCCCGCCTGCCTTCACAAGCAACAGGAGCGACCCCGTTCAAGATCTAAATGATTCCCAGCCCCGTGCATTTCTTCCTCCAGCCGGGACAAAACTTCCTTTCCCACCCTTCGCCCGCGAGCATGCCAAGGCCGAGGGAATGGCCCGGCTGGTGACGTCAGCGGCCCGGCCCTCGGAGGTCACCGCAGGCCACAGGCCACTGCTGCAGTGTGGCCTGCCTGCCCCGGCGCTTCATGCTTCGCAGCGCATCCAGTCCTAAAGTGAAGGCAGTCAGCGTTAGTGAAATGCAAAATGACTATATCCACGGCAAGAGAACACAAGAAATAACTTCCAAATTAAATCAAAGAAGACAGTACTTTAAGTTAGTGTTTGAAACATTAGTAAAGTTCCTAATGCTGGGCCAAGTCTTTCCTTGGAATTTTTGGTGTTAAACTCTTGAAAAATGCACAACTCCAGAAGAGGATCCTGTCCGAGAGAGAACTAAAGGAAGGAACTGCGGATAGCAGAGGGTGTCCACCCTGGACAAGGACAGAGGGTTGGGGTGCAGCTGCAGGAGGCCGCGGGGTCACCCCCACCCCAACACACACTGCCATCGCCTTTCTGGTGGAGGAGGTTCAGGGCCAGAGCAGAGCTCGGGAACAGGAATGGAAGGTCTGCGAGAGGAAGTCAAGCCTGCAAGGTGGAAGGGAAAGCGCCTCAGCGGAGAAGTGGCTGGGACATCTGCATCCTCTCCCGGGACACAGGAGGCGCCAACCGCTGCTAGGCACAGACCACAGGGTTTGGAGAACCGAAATGTCGGGAGCAGAGGTGGAGACACACATGCACACCCACAGGCACACGCACACGCACAATGCATGGCAATGCCCAGGAAGGGGTTCTGGAGGATAAACTGTGCTCAGAAGTGCTACCTTAGCGCTTCTCTGCCCTTTGGCTAAGATCAAGACTTCATTGAATTTAAGAATATGACAGGCAAAACTAGTAATAAAAAACCGCTCTACTCCAAGGCGTGCCACACCTCCTGGCCTGTTTTCTTTCACCTGACCTCTAGATTAAACTGCCCTTCAGTTACACCCTAGTCTTCCAGGCAAGGCTATTAGCGAACTTTGTGTTCAAAAACTTCCCAAGTGAGAGCTCTCCGCCATCTGTCACTCGGTCTTTCCCGGATTCAGCGGCCTCTCCTGGCGCACCGGGCTTCCACCGCCCTCTCCACCGAGCCGCCGGGGGCCCGCGGGCTACCAGGAGGAGGAACCGCGCGATTGCGCCCGGAAGGCGGGCGAAGACGCTGATGTCCGAGGCCGCCGAGGTCCTGGGGCGACCAGCGGTGGCGTCGCCCTGACCGAGCTCCGACCCGCACTGCGGAGCTGCCCGGGAGCGCGGTGCAGCAGGCGGGAGGGCGGGAGCTGCGCCCCGGTCCTCGGGCCCTCCGCGCCTCCGGAGTCACCGCCCCCAGGTCCTTGCAGAAGGACCCTGAGCTTTGCCAGCAAGGGGTTTAACCGAGACTTAGAGAAGGAGAGCCCGACCAGGAGAGTTTCAGCTTTTCTGTTTTGCTTTAGGCTTTTGTGAAATGACACTGCTGTAGCACACGAATCGTGCAGGAGGCGCACGCCCCTGCTGCTGTGCCAGCGTCGGGACTCGGGTTCCCGGGGGTCCGTTAGAGCCACAGTTCGGGGGCCACGAGACCACGAAAGCGGGGTGGCCGAGGGCAGCGGGCGCGCGGGGCGCTCTGCAGCCCGCGCAGCGGTCTGCCGGAGCTGAGAAGGTAACGATTCATAAACGACTCTTATAGAGATTTTTGGCTCAAGGGTTTTGATTTACCTTTATTCCTTGTTTATTTATTTCTTTTTTAAAATCGGTACCGGGGAATCGAACTCACGACCTTGCAAGGCAGGTGCTTATGCCGCTGAGCTAAATCCCCAGCCCGCTTGTTTATTTGTATAAGCTCATTCTTCACTTGGTGTTTTTTGAATTTCTATTACTGTCCTTTCATGGAATCATTTAAGGGACAAAGTTTGAAAATAACGTCAAAACTGCTTTCAATGTTGTCCTTAGGTACCATCAAGGAAAGAGTCGCACTGTGTGTTGAGTAAGTTTTAATTCTGACCACAAAATTACTTTTTAAAATCGTCTGGGGACTACATTAAAACTCTGATCAGCTAGTCGCACTAACCAGTTTTTCCTTTCACTGTAGGCACCTTATAAAAACGGAACAAAGTAGCCTGTTTGTGGTGACTTCTAACTGTTCTCCTTTCAAAGTTTGGTTGGTTACACCATTGTAAACTGCACGCAAAACTTGGCCGTTTTTGTTGTTGCTGTTCTTGTTGCTTGACTCCTAAGCCGCTCCCTCGAAAACATTGGAGAATAGAGTTTCTTGTTTATAAACTTGGCTTTCCATGCAGTCCGGCCCTGACTTGGAGCGTCACAGTCCAGAGGGACAAAACTCTGGGGCCTGTGAAGACGGGTGAGAAAAATCCCAGCGTTAGTGGCAGCAGCCGAAACTCACCTCCCCAGTGGACCCCTGTCAGAAAGCCTGCTCCCTCCTCCACAGCTCCCACGTGGCGTGGGGCTCTTTACTTCCCTCTGTAAACTGATTTAACATGTAAATGTCGTTTTGAGAAGACTAGTTTCACTGGGTTTAAACGAAATCTTAATATAAAAGAAATCCTAACAAGAAAGTTCTAGAGACAAACGACAGACTACCCTCCCATTTCTCCTCCCCCAAAGAGAGGAGGCTCAAGGAGCTTTCCTTTTCCTAACTTATGATACTAACCTTCACAGGTTACACATAATTAGCAAGAATTCTTTAGTTGCTATTGAACTAACTAAAAGCACACAAGCAGCCTTAAATTTGAGCTTGCTGCCCTAAGTTTGCTTATATCCTGGGAAGTTAGTTCTTGCTGTATTCATTCACTAGTGTGAGATACTCAGAAAGGCATTCCTTAAACCATGCAGAATCTATCTTTCCTATTTATACTCTATTTCATTACCCACTACCTTCTCTCCATCATACACCAGGAAAAAAGAAAATGATCAGAGATAAAGACTACAAGGAATTTAGGAAAGTTTTCCCTGTTCTGGAGGTAAATTGCAAAGCCTTTGATACTATTTCCTAATCAGAAAAAAGTGTAACTGTGTCTGAATGCCTGGGAGGTGGTCAGATTAATAATGATAATGCTTCCTTCTCTCCCTCCTTCATCTCAGAGCAGCTAGTAAGAAGCAAAGAGAACCCAGCTTGCTTTGGGGAAGGGGAAGAGGTTAGGAATGCCTGATTGGCCTGAAAACCTTAAAAACAAGACCAGGGTCAAAGCAATACATTCAGCAGAAGGTTGAGTATGTTACAATGTTTTAAAGTTCTTTCCTATTTAAAAAATTTCAATAGCATGATTTGTCTTATACATTGTCTTATAGAGGAAAAAAATCAAGATAGTGGATTACTTGGTTGGTGACTTAAGGCTCTATTATATTAGTTTTTGTTTTAAATTGCAGAAATGTTGAGCAGCAATTACATTCCCTTCTGACAGGGGCTTAAGCAAAAATCACAAGGAAATTATGCAAGTTTTTGAGTAATAGCAAGAATATAGGTTAGGAAGTTATTGAAGTAAAAGTATGATTACCTAAAAAAAAAAAAAAAAAAAAAAGATCAGTCTGGAGGAGGAGTTTTATTTTTTCCAGGTGATCTTAACCCAGGTTTGTTTTCTTTATGAAGGACATCTCTAGCACCCTCAGGATAAACGAAACACTTAAAATTCTGAACTTCCACCATAATTGAGTGTGGATGGTTATGGCACAGAAATATTGCCTTTCCATGGTGGAGAAGAGGAGGAACACTTAATCATTACCTCTGGGGAAAAGGGTGGGGGATAGATATCTCCAAGAAAACACAAAGACTCCATAAAAGAGTTTCCACTTAGCCATTAACAAAACAAACAAAGTTTTCTCTTGTTCTTTTCAGTAAGTTAAACAATTCTCAATGCTGAAGCATTTTAGAAGCTTCTGAATTTGTCAAATATATTCTGCATTTATTACTTTTCCAAATATTTGGAAACAAAACATACTACCATATAGACTTGGCAAGAAATAACCTCTCTTAAATATATTTGAAGACAATCCTTACTTTATGGAAATATTTTTCAAAATTAACAGGTTTTGTTCAGGTTTTGAATGGAAAATATTAACAAACGTTGGGCTATCAAGACCTGCATTTGTAAAGAACCTCTTCAGTCTTTAGGATTAGCAAGATCAGGGCTATTTTAAAAGAAGAGCATAATTGATGCTTTGCCACATTTGTATGACTCAAATGACACTTTCAAACGCTTGCCAAAAAGGCAAATCCTATAAAGACCAGTGAAAAGCAAACTATTATATTAGCTATACAAAACATGCATCCCCCTTAACCAACATTTTTCCCTTTTTAATTTAGTGTCCACTGAAGGAGAAATTTACTGAGATCAAATGAAGACTGTTTCTGTGCTTAGGAGGAGAGGAGGGAGGGGAGAGATAAAGAGGGAGGGACGTACACCGCTGTAAAACAGACTAGTGGCCTCTTGGAGAAGGCAGGTGAGGGTCCAGAGCCCAGGGAGTTGCACAAGTCCGCTGGGTGCTCCAAGCTCTCCGGAGCCGGGATATCTTCTGCTTCTCCGCTTTTTTCTTTAAAGCTGGCCCTGTGACGGAGGAGTGCGGCAGGAGGGGGATTTTTCGCTATTGGGAAGCCGCAGGTAGGAAAGGGAACCTGATCCTCCCCCAAAGGCAGCAATTAAAGTCTTAACTGAGACCCATCTGTCGTGGGACAGAGACACCTCCACACCTCCCCCACCCACCCACCCGCGCTGCCCTTCCTCCCACAAAGCCTGTCCTGAGCCCTTTGTCTGAGCATGGGAAAGGAGGACACACTTTGGAACCCCAAGAGCAAAAGGAAGGAAACTTTCCAGTTTGGGGGACCCCCAGTGGCTGCAGTCCAGTACCGAAGGCTCTAGAGCGCTTTCCAGGTCTTGTATCACCTCTTTCTCGGCGGCTCTGCGCAGCTGTCCGGCGCTGGCTTCCTTCTGTTCTTGCTCACTGCAGTATCCGTTTTCTCAGCCGTAAATCACCTAACGACCAGAAATAAGGTACTTCCAGGCCCAGCTGCTGGGGCAGGTCTCTTTGGCCTCTTGACCACCCCCAACTTCAAATGGAACTCACTTCCCTCCCCCACCCCCTCAGCTACCCACCGCCGGCCAGCTGCTCCTCCTCAAAGTTGGGCACCAAGCGCGTTGCTAGCCCAAGCCTCTTGATTTCCACCTCTATCGGCTTCTTAAACGGGCGCCATAAAGCCAGCGTGGGTCTGAGGGTTTGAGGGGTCTGGGTTCTTGGCCTGTCCTGTGCTGGAGATGAGGGATAGGAGGAGGACTATGCTGAGGCCAGCTTCATCTTTGGGTGACACTGGTCAGGGACTCAGCATCCTATGGGTTTCCAGGTCTCCTTCAGCCTCACTGCTGATCCCTTCCAGGGCTCCCGCGCAAAGACAACACACCAGGCTTAGCCAGATTCCCCCTTCCACACTTACTCACTCGAGTTTACTCACCAGGTAGATGGCAGTTTGGAATGCTGCAGAAGGCCACTTTTGCAGACAGCCAGGCCTACTGCCCTGTCCTCTCAACTCTGCGCTCTCCCTTGGCCTCCCGGTGCCAGCTCAGGGCTGCAGCGTCTTCCAACTCCCTGCAGCCTCTAGTGCGCCCCTGGCCACAAAGCTCAGCTCCGCGCAGTCTCAGGCTTGCAATCAGCGGTACCCAGGAAGGTGCGCGTGCGCTCCGGCCGGCCGGACAGCTGGAATCTGCCCCTTGGCGCCTTCCCGGAACCCCTCCGAACGCTGACCTCACGGCCCTCCGGCACCACACCCCGAGAGCGCCTGGTGGGGGTGGAGGGGATGTGGCTGGGGCTCGGTCTTCCCGCGCTCTCCGGGAGGCGTGAGTGTGGCGGAGGCGACTACTTCGGCGCCCGCACTTTGCCTTTCTCGCCGCATTGCTGCGCGCGGACCCTGGCTGCTGTCTGCACTGCTTCGAGGAGACGCAGACACTGGTAGCTGAGGTGGGACCAGAAGTTCTAGTTACTTCCCTTCTCCGCTTGACATTCAGTACTGAAATGTTCTGTTCAAAGAAAGCTCTAGCTGAACGCAGGCTGACATGTTCTTTCCGCGCTCTCAAAGCAAACTCGTGAAGCGCGCACTCGCGGGTGTTTTTGTGTATCCCGGGCGGGGTCAGATTCTAATCAAGGTTTCTGGCGGTGTCACACCCGCTCACTCCTTGAAACTCCACAACTTTGTGGATGAAAGTGCATCATTCCCAAGCCTATTGCCTGGACGTCGCCTTTACAAAAGCACAAACACATAACGAGCCTCCCGAGGCCTTTAGTTCTCAGGGGTGTTCTGGGAGGCCAGTTACCTGCTGGCGTCTTCCAAATTGTCCAGACTCGGTGCCGGCCGTGGAGACACCCAGAAGCCGTGAGCCTAAAGTCCTCCGCCCCGGAGGAAGGAGGAGGGCCGTGGAGGCGGCGGCGCGGCCGGATCCCAGCCCAGGGGAACCTAGCGAGGAAACCTCGGATTTCGCTGCCAGAGGCTTCCTGGCCCAGGCTTTCTTGAAGCCTGGCGTTTGATAAATATAGCCTGGCATTTGCCCCTGAATTAGACTCTGTTTCCTTATTTAGCCCTTGCACAATGATTTTAGATGATGTCACTTAGAGCTAAACGAGAAAATTGATCTCAGATTTGCCTAGCCTCTAAAGCCTGGTTAAACAGATTGAGAATTAAAAGGACAGAGGAAGCAAGGGGGGGGGGGTGGCGGGAAGGTAGCAGACTAGGAACAGGGGAAGGAGCGCGCGGAAGGGCGGGCGCGGGGCGCTGCGGAGAGCGCCCCCGCCTCTTCTGGGCGGGGGAACATCGCTCGCCAATGAAAAGTAGTCTCCGACTGCAGAGAAAAAAAAAAAGTTTTCCTGTTGACGGTTGGAAGCGAATTGAGCAATTATCTAGTTTACCTTCTCCTCTTGGAAGTTAACGATTGGCGAGATCTTGGCTGCGTTATTGACACAACACTTTCTATTGATAGAAATAAGTAGTGATTGTCCCGGAGTCATTGGTGCGCCAAGAACTCTGCGATGGGCTGGCAGGAGTCCATTGGGCTGGGCAGGCAGGTTCGGCTGGTGATGCTGGGGAGGAGGCGGAGGAGGCTGCTGGTGGTGATGGTGCCTGTCCTCCTCTCCGCAGGTCTGTGACAAGCAGGGAACAAGGCAACGACCGAGGATCCTCGCCCTGGCTGACAGACAGACGCTGGCGACTCAGACATGGACAGTAACTGCCCCAACGCGACCACCAAAATGTTAGCGACTGCTCCAGCTCGGGGCAACGTGATGAGCACACCCAAACCCTTGGCTTTCTCCATCGAGCGAATCATGGCGCGCACCCCAGAGCCCAAGGCCCTGCCAGTCCCCCACTTCCTGCAGGGAGCCGTGCCTAAAGGGGATCCCAAGCATTCTCTGCATTTGAACTCGACGATCCCCTGCATGATCCCCTTCGTGCCTGTGGCCTACGACACGAGCTGCAAGGCCGGACTGACCGGGTCGGAGCCGCGGAAGGCAAGCCTGGAAGCTCCAACAGCACCCGCGGTGGCGCCCTCCGCACCCGCGTTCAGCTGCAGCGACCTGCTCAACTGTGCACTGAGTCTCAAGGGCGACCTGGCCCGCGATGCTCTGCCCCTGCAGCAGTACAAACTGGTAAGGCCGCGTGTGGTCAACCACTCTTCCTTCCACGCCATGGGCGCCCTGTGCTACCTGAACCGAGGTGACGGCCAGTGCCATCCGGCCACGGGAGTGAACATCCACCCGGTGGCCTCCTACTTTCTCAGTTCCCCTTTGCACCCGCAGCCGAAAGCGTATTTAGCCGAAAGGAATAAACTGGTGGTCCCGGCGGTGGAGAAGTACCCATCGGGAGTAGCTTTCAAAGACCTGTCCCAGGCTCAGCTGCAGCATTACATGAAAGAAAGCGCCCAGCTTCTGTCGGAAAAAATTGCATTCAAAACTTCAGAATTCAGCCGAGGCTCTCCGAATGCCAAGCCCAAAGTTTTCACTTGTGAAGTGTGTGGAAAGGCAAGTACTATGCAGAAAGGCGTTCTTTCCTTTCTTCTTCTCCTTTCTTTTCTCCCTATTTTCCTTCTTTCTTTTCTTCCTCGTTTTGTTTCATTTCCTTCCCTCCTCCTGTTTTTCTTGCCTTCCCTGTCTTCCTGTTATTTGGGGTGTAATTATTTGCATATATATGTTATACTTTCTAGCCTCCCTCCGCCCAGTTTGATTTCAGATTGATTGTTCGGCTAATCTGCTGTACCTGTGTTTAATTTTAAGGTTTTTAATGCACACTATAACTTAACCCGTCACATGCCGGTGCACACAGGAGCCAGACCCTTCGTTTGCAAAGTGTGTGGAAAAGGCTTCCGACAAGCCAGTACCCTGTGCAGGCACAAGATCATCCACACGCAGGTGTGTACATCTGTCTCAGTTTACATGGCATACTTCTGAAATGTTTGGGAGAGTGCCCAATAAAGTTATTCTTTAGCATAGGATATGTTTAAAGGGCTAGCTGGACAGGCTGAGGGTGACATGTATTGTTTGCCTTTGTTCTACATAAAAGCTTTTAGAATATTACCGTGCTTTGCTTGCAGGACTCTACAAAGTACTTTAAACTTTTTGCTTTTCCCTCCATCTTTCTTAGGAAAAACCTCACAAATGCAACCAGTGTGGTAAAGCATTTAATAGAAGTTCCACTTTAAACACACATACCCGAATACACGCAGGCTACAAACCATTTGTGTGCGAATTCTGTGGCAAAGGATTTCATCAAAAAGGTATGCAACCCAGGAGATGTTGTCTCTCAAGATGGTCTTAAATCTTTTAGGGATCTTTTAGAAAACAATTTTTAAAGTACAACTAGTTACTTGGAGCCATTCTTACCTCCTACCCTAAGATCTGATTAATGTGAGAGAAAGGAATAAGGGATGTTTCTTTTTAACTGTCTTACCTTGTTTTAGATAAGTGATGAATGTTATTAAAATGTAGCAGAAACTTCCTCTTTAAAAATATACTTCGGGAAGCAATTGCCCTGCACTGCCAGTTAGAGCTGTCCCTGCTCTTCTGTCCCTCTTCCCCGTCCATGCGTCCACCGGCTCCTTTTCAAGCTGTTTTAAAAGCCATATCCCTGTCATTTGTCTGTTTCAGGGAATTACAAAAACCACAAGTTGACCCACAGCGGGGAGAAGCAGTTCAAGTGCAATATCTGCAACAAGGCTTTCCACCAGGTTTACAACCTCACTTTCCACATGCACACCCACAACGATAAGAAGCCTTTCACCTGCCCCACTTGTGGCAAAGGATTCTGCAGGAACTTTGACCTCAAGAAGCACGTCCGTAAGCTGCACGACAGCAGCCTGGGGCTGACCCGAACGCCCGTGGGGGAACCAGGCAGCGAGCCGCCACCTTCGCTACAACAGCAGCCTCCAGCGACTCTGCCGCCTCTGCAGGCTGCGCTGCCGCCCGCTGGGCCACTGCAGCCCGGGCTCCACCAGTGAGCTCCGCCAAGGCTCCTCCCAACCCTGCGGCAAAGAGCAGGCTAGAGCCGGACCTCCTCGTTCAAGCTCTTCTGCAGAACCCAAGGCATGATGGGCCCCGCACGTCAGAGCGACCCGAAGTCTTTGCATTCCTTGGCCTTTTGCCTCTTGCATGTATCTGCTAAGTGATTTTGTGTATTATATTCTAAATAGGCGCTAACAATTACGAGAAATTTGGACGGGTTTGCTTTATGATATTTTTAATTTGCAAAGACTTTTCATCTCGGGTGGAGAGATGGTGTTTATTTTGTTTTTAAAGCAAATTTCTGCTGTATTTATTGAGATCTGTATTATTCTACTCGGGAATGCTGCATCATTTTAATTTTATTACTGTACATATTTTCATTGTGTCCATCCTGCCATCTCAAAATGCCTGCTGATGGTTATTTCCTCCTCTTCTGCCATAACAGAACAGTGTGTGTATGTTCTATATACTCACACATAGATGTATGTGCCTGTAAAGGTGCATCCCACATTCTGGAGCACACACATAATGCTTATACACATACGTATTAGATAAGGGTTTCTAATTATTAATGAATTTGAATTTTGATTTTGATTCTTGCACGTGAAAGTTGATTCATTGACTTTTGGAAATAAATACTTGGAACATGCTTATTTAATCAACAAACTTTAGTGCTGTGTATTTTTCAGTTAAAAAATAATACTTCTCTGTCTTATTTTTTTTTAAAGCTGAACTTTGGGTTAAATAATAACTCATGGTTTGATCTGAAGGTGCAAATAATCTCTCTAAAGAGTTACTGCGTTGGGCAAGGTTATGAAATGTGGTTAAATTCAGACAAAAAATGTCTATTTTTCGAATAGAAACATGACTTTGCCTCGGATCTTCTGATATATTTATAGTGGATAAAGTGAGGACAATATGTCTAGGAGCTGGGTGTTACATGCATTTTCACAAATGCATTACAACATGTGGAAAGATATCTATTGTTTGCATCCTGAAGGCACATATTGACAATTCCACACAGCTGGCAAAGCAAGCCTCAGTGTTTGTATATGTGTATATATGTTTGTAGATGAATATACTTCCATTCAAGGAGGAGACATGGATGAAAACCAAACTCTGGCGGGTGCCAGGTCCTTGAAACGCTTCAAGTGTTAATCAGCAGCTCCGCAGTGAGCTCGGGCTCTGATGTTTTCTAACTGCAAGTCTCTCCTGTTTTCTTGCCAAAACAGTGAAACAACTGCTAAAGACTTTAATTAAGAGGGGTAATTAGTTCAGATTTATCAAAGCCGGGTTGTTATACTATTAGCTGCTCAGTAGAAGCTGCCAGACAAACTCGTGGCCCAGCACAGCAGTGCTGCTGCAGCGGGGCCGCGTCCGAGGAGTGAGGCTGGGGGAGCGGCCGCGGGGGTCCCGCCTCGGCCCGCAGACCCCGCCCGCCTCTGGGGAGCCTCGGCCCCTCCCTCGCCCCAGCGCAGTGGCCGGGCGGTGGGCAGCGAGCCGTGGGCAGCGAGGGTCCACGGCGGAGCCACGCGCGGGCGGGCCCCACGGGGCCCAGGTGCTCTCTTCTCACACCCGGGTGCAGCCCGCTCCTGGTGGCCTCAGGGCCGCTGGCCGGGGCTGCGAGGCCGTTTAAATCTGTGCGTCCTGCTGCGCGGAGCGAAGGCGGTGCAGCGGGCGGGAGGGCAGGCTGCGGCGCGGGAGGCCACGGCGGTTTCCCTGCGAACTCGAGCTCACCTTTCAAAGCCAGACGCGTGACGTTTGTGGGCACCAAAAGTGGCCCTCAAGACAAGAAGATGGCAAAGGACCGCGCGGGGTGAACGCGGACGAGGGTGGAGCCAGCACATGGTCCCTCGAACTTGTTTTGC